CTATTCATTAAAGTTTTATTTTTGATTTGACTGATTAGTAGGTTTAGACTAAAACAATTAGACCTCTGCCTTGTGGACAATGGCCTCATGGGCTATCAAACATAGTCCACTTGCCCTTGAGGTCTAATTGTTAATTAATCATCCCATATCTAATTTTTGTAACATTGATTCTTCTAGTTCACTCCTTTGTTGAATTGGGAAAGATTCTTCTCCAAATCCCCGGTGTCAAGATGCTTCTGAGTGAGAAGTTCTGTCAGGATCCCTTAGAGGAGTACTTCGCCAAACAAAGAAGATGTGGAGGATGTAATGATAATCCCACCTACAGTCAGTTCCGTCATAACTACCTTGCATTACATGTTGCTGGCTCAAGTGCTCTTTCCTCTGAATATACTTAATCTGTTAAAAAAATATATTGCCAGCACAGAAGTCCCAAAAACATTTTTCTACTTCACTTTTCTAATGCCTGCATTATTTCTCCTGAAGAATTTAGGTCTGAAAGATATTTTATAAATGGGAAAGCCCATTCTTTGTCTGTCTAGAAARAAATTTATAAGACCATGAAACAAAGTCAGTTAGAAAGCAATAATTCTTCAGGAGCTATTATGGTCTCTTGGTTGTTTTCTTCAGTGCTGCAGACTACTTTTGAATTATTGAGGGGCWTTYTACTGGCTATAGTTAGATAGACACATGGCTTTGACATTTCATGCCCACGTGTCAAATATTTCAGTTTGATTGTTAAAAGTCCAAATATTACAATTTAAATGAACGRTAGGCAAGGTTTTAAGAGGAATTTGGTACAATGTTTTACAGTATGAGGTATGCAGGTGATTTAATATTAATATTAAAAGCTTACTCAGAAACAAACAGTTGGTTGTGGACTGCAGCTAATCAAAGATTGCATTCTACACCCTTGGCAGAGCCTCTTAATAGAGACTTCTTGCAGAGAAGTCGCTCTACTGATATTGGGAAAACTTTCATGATACCGTTATAAGAAAAGTCCATACAAAAGCARCAATAGCTCGTTGTTTAGAATAGTGGTCAAACAGTAACAATGAATAGTAAAATTATATAAGAATAATTATTTTATTGTTTTTAATGAATATATAAAAAGTAAAATGGGTGAACAAGGTAAGACATTTTAACATTTTTAGTTTAACAAATGCAATTGTTTTGGCTATCAAAAGTCAGGATCCACCATGAAAATATCAATAATAAAACACCAAAATCCAGACTAAAATCAAATTGATAACAGCATTAACCAGTTAGCAGTTTCAGTAGTAGCATTATAAGCTATAACACACTTATACCATGAAATAGAATTAAATAAGGTTAACAAAGAGTTGATTAGGAACTAGTAAATARTTTCACTCTCTCTTGAGTATTATTCTTTTGGTTTGTGTTCAGTACGTAGTTAGTAAGTATTAGTCCCTTGGAATTAATACTTACTAATTAACTACTTAATTTGATTATATTTCACAGTACAAGTGCATTTCCTTGTGTCTTATACAGTKACTGTAGGTTATCAATCTTGACAAAGATGCTTTCTTTGCATTATATAGTGAATAGTTGATTAAACTTTTACCTTTTTTCAGGTAAGAAGAGTGCAAAATAAAGGTGTCATGAACTGAACCAATTTAAACGCACCTGCTYTTTCATCAACRTTTTGTAGACTTCACCATCATTAAGGTAAGACATCACTTTTCCAGTTAAAGATKGGAGTGTCTTTGGGAAAATGTTTGTATTGTTCACAAATTTGGAAAAHAGAATGTGAAGTTTTTCAATGTCAACTTGATCATTACAAAGTTCCTTCTGAAGAAGTTCAACTAGAATTAACTCCTCTAACAATGTCCATGGATACTTAATTTCCTCCTCGTTTACTTTTTTTTGTGTGTAATCTTTACCTGATAAAGAGCTAGTTGACATGCGAGGGGCTCTTCGCTTTCTTGTTGTTGTTGGACATGTATTTATCTTTGAGGTTGTTTTTTTTCCATGGGGATTTTCGCATCCAAAGCAATGGCAATTGTTTGTGCAAGACTTTACAGATTGAAAACACTTGCATCTTTTCTTGAAGTGGTCGCATGATGTTTGACTTTTTTCTTTTTTTCTTGCACCTTGACCACAACGGCAGTACTGTGTGACATCTGATCCATCCAGCTTGTCTTTGACCKCATTWGYATTTTCATGTTTTCCACTGCATACTCGATTAAGCGGCTCAATAGCTTTCACAGCATCGTAATGACCGGCTCCAATATGGTCATAAGCAATAAAWATTGGAGAAGGATCAATTGTTACTCTTGGTGTGATTGGAATTACTGGCATGTTCTCCATTTGAGATATTACAACAATCGGTCGRTTTAAAACATTTGCCATTGCAAGAGGCATGGAGTTTCCAAGCTCACTTTCAAAGWATCCATCCCTGAGAAACATCTCTGCCTGGCTCTGGAAATCATTTGAGCTGTTAATAAGAAAATGGGTATATTGCTCTTTGTTGGCAAGCCACTCTTTTACAATTAACTGTCTGAGAAGATTGACAAGTTTATCACTGTCATTTATTAGCTGTAWTAATCCCACTTGTTGCAGGTGGCTTAGGAAATCTTGTGGTATATTATTATTGGATGTTAATATTGTAATGAGAGCATAACCTATAGCTGAGAAAAAACAATTTCCATCTGGTGATACAGGAACTCTTGCCATTTCAAAGTTATTTAGTATGCTGTCCAGCTTTGATGTTTCATGTGTGGAACTGCTTTGTAAGTTATAGGAACTTAGTAGGGTCAGTGAGCTTTGTGAAAAYATAAAGATGGTTGCCCTGAATTTATCATATTGTCCATTTGTTTCTTTCTATATTCTTGAAAAGTTTTTCTTTGTTTTTAGCATCTTTAATTATTGTTGAAATTTTATCTTCACTTATGTCAATATGCTCTTCTTGACTGTCATTGTCATTTGGTTCTTCATCTTCTGAAGATGATGATGATTGATAATTATTTTCATGTAAAGGTAAGTTGGGGATTAGGTTCATGCTGTCTCCAATATCGAAAATTGGCACCAGGCATTCAGCATTTTTGTTTTGGGCTTTTATATCATTAAAATAAGTTTCAACTGGTGGTGTAATGTTTATGTTTTTTTTTTCTTTATCACTTCTTAATCGTTTTTCGTTCCATGCATAGAAAAACATTCCTAGAAGAGCCAAGGCAAACTGAACACCTATTCTAGATTTTTTTAATGTTTTGTTGAGAATTCTGTGTAATCCTTCATTGCGATTTGTACCTGCAGAAGGTGGAATGTTAGATAAACATCCTTTATGAACATGCACTAATAGTTTATCAATCTCACTGACTGCACGCTGTGGAATAATGTCTGTAGCTTCGTGTTTGACATTACCCCATTGTCTTTTGAAGTCTAAGATATTTTTTTCAATTATATGGGGTGCTGGTGTATGCTGTTGCCTTTCCTTTCCACGATCTGATGGATGCCGAATGACGTGTTTGAAATCTGTCAGCATCTGAGACCTTAGTTTCCTTATAGGGCTGTTTACTGATCCTTTCTTTGGTATTTTCGACGTAAATCTTTGAATGGCATGAAAAGGATCAAGCTTTACATTTGAGTTTGCAAAAATAGAGTGAAGTTTTGACTGCCATTGACAACAATTATCAATGTATATTTGTTGTACTTGACATCCTTTGGACTCGAGACTGTGTTTAAGGTCTTCAAGTAAGTTCTTTACCCTATTGAAACTTGTCCCTCTACACAGTTTCCATGCAAGGACAATCCCATTTTCATTCAAAACTATAAACAAACTGTCATACATCCTTACCCACTTGTCATTGCACCAAAATCCAATGTTTGCCGAAACTTTAAAGGTGTGGTCTGCACTAATAGACTTACATGTAGCGTGCATTTGTTGCATTCTTATTTCATAGAGCTGCTGCTTTTCATTGTAACTTTGAACATAACACACTGTGGCTATCTTTTCTGCAACTTTTTTTCCTTTGCCTTCAAATAGTGGAAAATTCCTCACGTCTTTGCATAGATTTGTTTCTCTTAAATATGACAATTTCCTTTTCCCGTATTCAGTATACTCATGTTGTTGCCAAAGTACCTGCACATCACTTACTGCCATACCTGCTTGTATATGTGAGCAGAAAAAGTCAAATAATTCCCTTGTTATGCCGCATTTGTGAAACAAAACAAAAGGTGGTGTRAAATTTTCCATCTGGTTTACAATTTCCTGCTCATGACTTAGTATTTGATGTTTATTTTTGCAGATGTATACTCGACTTACCAGTAGGGCATTATTTGTTAGKCCATAAAGGTGGCGAGGTTGGTCGTAGTATGTGCTGCCATCTTTCCACCTTATTGGTCGAATGTATTCTCGGTTTGGGCAGACAGGACAAAGTAGACTTAAGTCTGGAAATACAAGAAGCGGCTCCCATACAATGATGTCTGGAACTAAGAACGCCAAAGGCTCAGTTCCAAGCGCCAACTGAATACCTCTCCCACGAGGAAAAGCTCGTAAAACTCCTTGAATGTACATGCCTTCTTTGTCGATGTTTTGAAGTAATAATTTTATAAATTTTGTTGTTGTTTCGTCCACATAACCGGACAAACATAAAGTGCCAAWGAACATAAATATCAATATTAAACTCGATTTGAATAGAMACATTTTTAGATATTATTCAAGTCGTGTTTTTAAGAATCCAAGAAGATAGTCAGATAGTAAACATAAGMTAATAAAGWCAACGCTCTTACATCGAAGCGAGCGCGCTTCAAAACGTATTTTCGCGCGCTTTTGAGATAATTAGTAAAAGCAAACTGCATGTTTTGTAATGTTTTTTTATTTATTTMTAATATTCTTAAGCTAATACCAACAATGTCTTATCTATAATATAGTTTGTATTATGCAAAATTAATGACTTCCTTACGATTTTATTGAATGTTACGAGCTTTGCCATTTTTCCAAAGCTTTGCTTCGGTTTTTTGTTGTTGTTTATTTTCTTGTGCTTCTGATAAATCGATTTATTATTTTTGTAAGTAACCAGACTTTTACATATTTTCTCGTCCAGTTTTTGGCTTTTTGAATATTAACTNAAATAGTTTTTCCAACACATGTTCTAATCCTTGGGTGGCCTGAAAGAAAATGCAACGATTTAGTTACTTCAGTTTYGTGGCATGTCTACTAAAAATGGAGCCAYCCAAACAAAATACTTTCCACAGGTTAGTCTTTACTATTTCTCTACTATTTTTAAGCCAAAACTATTTAACAGTAAATAGTGCAAAGTGTTGCACACATTGTTAGTGTTTGCAATCTGTTATTTTTAACAATAAAGCATTTGCTTTTGGGGGGGTTTTCCTTTTTCAATTCAAATTCTCCTCAAAACAAGTTTTCAATTCCAGGACTCTTCAAATTTGAAAGAGTGGCACAAACCCTGACATATAAATTATGTACCTTTTTGACATTCTTTTTATATCTTTCTACTCCAAATGCTTCAATAGCTCTAGCAAAACCATATACATCCGACGTAATCCATGACTGCTTCTCACATGTAGTCCTGAAAAAAATAAACATAATTACGTCAATTTTAAGTTTCCAAATCTTTGCGACTTTTTTTGGAGTACTTACCATTCATTATTSTGAGGGTTGACAGTATAGACACATTTTTCTTCAACAACCATGAGCATTTTATAGGTTATATTTCTTGTATAAGTTGTGAACGTTTTTGCAATGGGATCAACTATGGATTCTTCTACTACACAAGCATTTCTTGAATTTACAAACTAAAATAGAAAGACAAGATGTAAGTATTGCAATAAAAAAAGTTTCTCAACAGATAAATACATTCTTTTGATGCTAATACTATGGAAAATGCCAGAGTGGTAAATTTATCTCAACAATTCTGTACCACATGGTMAGCTTTTTGTGCACAACACGATTGTTTCTAGCCAATCATTTGTRTCAAAAAAACTATCATGTACTAAACACAAAAACACAGTCAAACATTTTAATCAGAAGTTTACCATTCTGGTGATTTGCTTTAAATTTCAAAGTACTAATCACATAGAATATTGCTTGTATGCATTTTAGACATTTCCACAATAAACATTATCTATTAATATTTTGATGATTAATAAAGAACATTGTTTACCTTTTCTCCCCATTTTGGTAATCTGTTGGTCTTTGTTAATAATCTTTTAGTTTTTAATTTGTTATCCTCAACTTCTCTATTGTCAAAAATAAAAGGAAAACATTTACTTATTAAATAAAATATACAAACTAAATGCAATCAATAGAAAAGTGAAATACTAAATAAATCTACAACAGACTTTTACAATAGAAATGTTATATCTGTGACTTGTGTAGACAGCCTAAATCACCATCCTTGACTACTCTGCATACACCCAGATGAACTCAGGCTATCCTTGACCACAATGCTAATGACACTTTCTACAAGATCCTATTTGAAAACACTTGTTACTTGGGCAATTTGACAGGAAAAAAACACACCCCTTTTCAATTGCTGGCATGGATGGAGCTTAAGCTCTGGCTCCTTTCAAATGATTTGCATTTTGAAAATGACAATTTTTCATAGTGAAATCTTTCATCCATTCATCCATGAACAACACTGACAGGAAAACACCACTTTGTTAAAAAGACTCRTGAATTGTTTAGTTTTAAGTGCACATCTTCTTCTTAAAAGAAATTCAGTAAACAGAGAAGCATATTATTTACCGATACAGAGTTATTGCCCGTCGAATACAAGATGACATTTGTCAAAAAAACCTGTTTGTAAGAACAAGTGACGTCATAAAGTGCTTTAATGATTAAAGATTTTTGTACTTTTATACTGACAGTCGCTTAGYGTAACTCTGCGTAATCGTTAAAACGAGTAATATATGATGCATTAAACATACTAGTTCAAGTAACRTTACGATTAAGCCTTACCTAGACAAAACATCCTCACTCAGCACGTGTAAACTCCATGGATTTGGATACCTTTTCCAATAAGCTGTGCTAACTTGATCCCAGGCAAATCTAACAAAGATTTAAACATTTAGTCAATTAAATCAAAGGTTTAGGTCTCCCATGCATTTAATTCAATCGTAATAATAACTCACTTAAAGACAAAATTACTGGAGTAAAACTTCATCACAGAACTCGCCACCCATWAGCTGCAAGTCACGCAAAAGAGACCTGAGCCAACGATGCTACATTGTTAGCGAACTCTCTTACTAGTACTAGTCTTCCAAAAAGCACGGTCATTTTTCCCACAGAAAACCCAAGAATAAATGCGGCCCCTGCATTTGCATTTGTGCCAAAATGGAAATTATATATTTTCTTAATATAATGTATTACAAGTGTAAAAGTCAGGAAAAAAGATATGTTGTCATAAAAAGAAGAAGAAAAMGGAAATAAATTACTGTGTTMTTTTTTCGGTGCAGCGAAATCATGTGAAAAAGGRTAAAAATTCATTGGTTCCTAATTAGCGGAAAAAAGCTTGATGACAGCGACGTCAGAGTAAAAATTTTCATTCTTGAAAGAGCGTTTGTAGTGTGCATGTGCTGTCTTCTCGCCTCACAAGAGCGCGCGGCCGTGAGTTCTGTTCAACCAATCAACAGCCGTGTTTATGTCAGCTCAAATGAAATACCAGACCGCCATTTTGAAGTAGTTGGAGGAGTGTTGAACTATCATAAATGTTCCCTTAAATGAAGAAAAAACACAGTAAAATTCAAACATTGGTGTAGGATTTAGCTGTATAAAATTCAAAGAGTGTGTATAGAGTTATTCGGTTTAGTTATCAAGGAAAGGACATTTCTTTTGCACAAAAATGCCTAGCTCGCCACGCAAGAGAGGTAAAGCCAAGACACGAGAAGGTAAACGTTTAACTCTGAAATCTCTTCGTTTAGCTTACTATGATTCAAGAAGCGATGGTTAGACTTTTCTGACTATRTTTTTTCTATCTATTTAGCTCAAAAACTTGTCGACGGCAACGACTCCGATGATAGCTACAACGACATGCCGCCTTTGGTGAACTCAGACTCGGATGATGTGAGCTCTTTTGAAATTCTTGCACGAGATCCCTTTTGAAATTTTGTAATTTTCTGTTGTKTATTGTCTTAGGACACAAGAGATGACTGGCCCCGACGTCTAAAAGCTAATAATAATAGTAGGTATCTTTTATTATAGACTAAAGCTGACCCAGAACTTAAACTTTACAAATTTTAACTTAGACTTTTACAGCTTAACTTAAGTGTTAACTTCTAGGTTTTCAACTTATGTCTTGCTGTGGACTTTATTCGCATTGAAAGTAAAACTAGTTTGCACATTATCCGCATTCAAATCAGTGAAATATCGTATTTTCACTTTTGAGCTGAAAATGTGCACCGTTGCACTTTTTCTCTTCCACCTGGCATCAAGGTCTGTCATGACTTTATGTCTTGTATTCTACAAGAATAATTTCTTGAAGCAAATTCTCAAAATAGACCTGATAGGTTTTCTTTTGGGGTGTCGATGATTGAATCCAGTCGACACGATCCTTAATCATACACTCAAATAGACTGACATTCTTTGTAATTGATTAACAATAGAAAAATAACACCTAAGAGATAGTTAGTTATCACTCAGAAAACTTTAAAAACAGCATACAAAAAAAAATCTAAATAAGTAATTGGTTGTGGTTGTGCAGTTAAAAGTATCTCCTTATATGGGGTTATAGTTCAAAAAAATATGGATCTTTGAAAAAAAATTGTCAAATTATGTAAATTTAGTTTCTAGTTATTCATTCAACCATTGCAAATTTATACATTTTTATTTTTTTCATTCATATTGCTGACAGTTATCTATTGTTAAGCTCTATGATGAAAAGAACAGCAGTCAAAACAAAACCARTATTCGTAGGCAAAACATTAATCCAAACCCTACTGAACCTAACCAAGAGTTATATAATATTCTAAAAGTTGTTTTAATTTGGTTTCTATTCTTGTTGAGTGTTGCTATTTTTGTCTATAATATTCTTAAAAGCACCTGTCTACATTACATGGACATTTTGTTTCAATGATTGTGATATTTATAATAAAGAATATGGTACTCTCAAGCTAAATAATACTTGTTCTTTAATATTTCATACCCTTTTGTTATTGTGTTTTGAAAGTTTAATTCAAACTGCAACGCTGAAGTGAGCTTTGATGCATAGAAGACTCTTAAAACTATTATAACAATTTGGCATAATAATGTAGATAATTCTAGCCAAAACAGAAGTATTAGGTAAAATATTAGGCAAATGGAAATTCTTTCTAGTATGTCGACTGAAAATATGAGATCCACAGAAAATTCACAATTATCATATGGTAAATAATGCTGAATGGATTCATATAACAGTCGAATACAGATTGAGTTATAGTCTTTATGGACATAATGAGATGGCATAGAGTTTACATGCCAATGCTTCATCACTCTGACTTTATGATAAAGTACTAAAAAAGTATGAATACGATTAAATCACTGATATTCCATGCCTCAAACTATTTTGAAGGTGGATTTAATATGTGATTTTAGAGTATTCTTTTAGCTTGTATACAACATCCATTTAGTGTACAATGTTGTTGATCGGTTTTTCAAAAATATGCTTTAAAATTTAAAAGAACATACTCTGAAGATTTCCGTTGGGCTGCATGTAGTATAATTACATATCTCAATCCACAAACATATTGCAATCAACTGTATAATGTAAAAATATAAACTGTTGAATCTTTTGATAATCTTCATTGACTGTTGTTTCAACTCTAACCATAACCAGCATGATAACTTTTCATTTATTTTATGAAGCCGTAAGCTACATCTTATAGAATTGATAATACTAGCACAGTAACTTGGCAGAGAAACAGGAAGTTATCTGTGTTCCTCACTGTCTCAAAGCAATAAAATTTAATTCTATGTTCAGACTGACTATATACTGTTTGCCAATGTATTAACTTATTCATTGCAGTGGAAAGTGTGGATATGTGGCTTGACTTGAGCAAACCTACCAGAGAAAGACACGTCAGGGTTATGAAAATCTACCTTTTGTCACCATTTTTATTTGACAGTGTTGAACAAGATGATAAGGTACTGTGTTTGACAAAAACCAAAACTCTTACTGTCCATGGCAGGGTATTGTCTTTATTACCTTCAAAAGTTTAAAGTCTGGAAGCTTAACAAGTCTTGTGATAATCAAAGGGTTTTGACTGTGTGTTATGTTTTTCAACTATAAATTTTCACCTTGCACTTTTTCATTTCTTCTTGGCTTCAGTTTTCTGTAGACTCATTGTATCTTTATGCACGTAAGGTTATTTATTAAAACAGACGCTCTAGAGTTGCCTTGTTTATATAGCCTCCCTTATTCTATTGCTTCCACAAAAGATTAAAAAATCTAAATTATGAAATTAGATCATTCTTGGCTAAATTGATGATGATCTGACAGACAAGAGTTGAAATATTAAAACTTCTTTTTTGTACTTTAGTGGATAAATTGGGCAAATGAATGTAAACTGCTATCAAACACAAGGTAAGATTGTTTACTAGATTTTGACAAAAGAATATTTATTCATTGGTGATCCAGACAAAGATTGTCTGGCCACTGAGGTCATATTTTAGGAGTACTGCTACATTTTGACAGCTGTCAAGTGTGTTTTGTTATACCACAAACACTTGTCAGGTTACTTCCTTCATTGCAGCTTGTCAAAATGCTTCAGCCACCTGCATGAAATGAACATAATGAAAACAACATTCATTTAATTGTGAAGATAGACGTTACTCTATGTGACTTCACCTCATTTTGTTTTGATGCCATGTAGGAATTTAGAACCGTCTGATCAAGTTGAAGAATGTTTAGAGGCTGTTGATATTGTCGAGGAGGCTTTCAATAAAGCAATTACATATATGGTAAGAAAGATTGACATTCTTTGACAATGATATGATAACGATATCTAGATTGGTCTGTTTATGATCATGTATAATATGTAGTACCATAAAAACCAATAAGAAAAGTGATAAATCATGAATTCCAGGAAAATATAGGTCATTTATCTGCTATGATTATAAATCCAAACCAATACAAAATCTAATCTGAGTTTATACCTATACATTTGCTAGTTTTATTCACCTTTTTTACAACTCAACCCAGAGCCCCATTTTAAGAAAGAATTTATGGAACAGTGTTATATAAGAATTTTTTTACAGATTGGACTAACAGTTTTTTCTTACTTATGTAGATCTTCGTTATGATGGCATGTAATCATATTGATGTATGCAGTGTTTTCTCTTTACAGTTAGCCAAAGAAGATAGCGAAGAAATTGAGAAAACATTAGGAATGATGGATAAAATTAATACTGTAAGTGAATAAACTATAACAACAAAGAATCAAGATAGACGTTAAACAAAATATATCATTTTATAGATTGACAAACTAGATAATGCCATTCTTTGTGCTGAAAGCTTCACAACATACTTAAAAGTAAGGTGAGGAATGATATTCATTAAAGATATTCAATATTGTACCTCAAAGATATCAGATTAAAATCATTGTGTTTGTTTTTCTGCAGAGAGAGAATTAAAACTGCTAACCTCAAAAGAAAAGGCGACAGCAAACGCAAAGCTGATACCTCTTTACTACTCGTATTTCAACAAAGTAAGATTTTTACAAAAATGTATTTGTAGTGCAGAATGTTTATTACTGAGTGAAAATAAAACTGTGTTTGAATGTCCCCACTTGCAATAAAGTCAATTTCGTATGAGTGGGAAACATAATTGTATGAGGAAGTGGCTGATCCCATTAAAGAGTGCACAATACACATAAAGTGTAGAGCTAGTTATATATATGATATCAAAGAGGCAAGATTTTGCTGTGGGAAACATATGTTAGAAATTACAGTTACCGCACAGTTACCGGTCCGGCGGACCTGGCCTGCAAGATTTTGTGAAGCAATGAGACACTAGAATTTGGTTACAGTACGATTACGGTTACAGTGCAGTACCGTCCGTTTCCCACTCATACGAAATTGACTCTATAGGAAGTTAAGTAATGATCACTTTTTGTAGCATTACATGTATACTCTCAGTTAAGTTAATAAGAGCATTTGTTGATAATAGTTTATGACCACATAAAGAAATTGACTCAAGAAAATAAAGACCTTACAAAGCAGTTTGATAACATGTGCAGACAAGGTGAACAGGTACATGTAAGATCATTACTACATTGTAGGAAAGAAAATTCTCAAGACAATCTTTGAAAGATAAAGGAAGACACAAGAAGATAATAAACATTATAATTTGACATTTATTTACATTTTAGCAGGGCAGGAAATAACAGCCAGAAATAGGAGGTCAAGATGACCTTTCATATGTGTTTTTCATTGGTAATTTACCATTTTTAATAGCAATTTTTGCAAGGTCATTGTACGGCATTGTCTGAAATCTGTCCATGTCCTGCTTATATGCATCAACAATTCAGACAACTTGTAAATGCTTTGATGTAAGAGCCCATTACTGACAATAATCGGATTTTTGGATAGACACTTAAAAGAAGCTTTCTTCTTTCTAAACAGCAAAGCACAGATCTCAGGAAAAAAGGCAACAACCACTTTTTAGAAGGAAAATATAAAGCAGCAATATCAGCATATAGTAAAGCAATCATTATGTCGTAAGTAGTAGTAAAAAAAACATGTTGTTTCATGTAGTATACAGAATGGCTTATTTAGAGAATTTTAGATTATTTCTGAAATTCCAAAGGATGGCATTACACATGTCATTGTACAATTAATGTCCAATTCCTAGGAGTCTTTCTCACACTTAGAATAATTTTAAGTGTACATCAGACAATACTCATGGACAAGTTACAAGATGGGAATAAGATATTCTCTCTCACATGCTTATTCATTCAGTCATGTTTTCCTACATTTCACTATGCAATTTTTATCTTTATCTTTATTACATTTTTTGCTCTTTCCTGCAGACAATACAATCATATACTTTATGGAAATAGAGCACAAAGCTTTTTACGAACTGGTGAAGTTTGGTTGGCTTTAGCTGATGGTCGTCGCTCTGTGATACTTAATCCTGAGTGGGCGAAGGTGAGTCAAAGACTTGTTTTGACTCTCTGTGTCAACTGTAAAGGGCAGATGTTAATTTAAAAAATACTTTTATTATTATTATAGGGTCAGTACAGGTACGCCCAAGCATTTTTTGACCTTGGGGATATAGAACGAGCAATCAGTGCTAACAGAGAAGCCAGACAGTCTTGCAAAAACAATAGTAAAGATTTAGATTCCCAATATGAAAAGTTTTTAAGAGAACGAGGTATGTTTTTGCATAATAACAGATAGTTAACTGTTTTATACTTTAATGATAACTAAGAATATAAGGAATGTGAAATTGTTTGCTTCTAATAATATATTTGACATGGAAGGTGAATGCTGTTGTAGTAAATTAATTTTTCTTTCATTTCATAGAGTTCTCCTCTAACTGCTCTTGTTTTAGAATACTTTATGCGATTTTATATTTTCTTACAGATGTGAAAGCTAAAAAGAATGCAAAAAGTATGAAATTCAAAGATCCTCAATTAAAAATGTAAGTTTCATTCAATGATTTAATTATCTCATTATGCAATATTGGCATTCTTTTATCCAATGGCTTGTTTTCTTGTAGGCCAAACGAATTAGATGACTTACCAGACCTAGTTGAAGCAGACTCCAGTGACACTAGTGTAGACAGTGCTGATGATGATGATGATTATGGCATGATTGATGACAATGATTCTGATGATGATACTGATAACAGCAACTCTGATGATGAGGTTTGCAATTCTACTTGAATTTGTGCAAACACATCCACACCTGCAGGAATAATTAGACATAGATCTGGTTGACATTTACAGAACTCTATATATCAGGTTCATTGATTGACATTGAACAAAAATAATTTTCTTTTTCCATTCAGCAAAGTGTTCCTGAGCTTGTAACAGATTCTTCCAAAGGTATTATTCCAAAAACCTAACTTCAAGTGCTTTGTCATGTGAAAAATCTATGATCTATCTAATTTGATATCATAATAAATGTATTATTTGTTCAATATAACTTGAACTTGTCAGAAAGAAAGGAACACATGAAAACAGGATGATTTTTTTCTTTTAGCAAAAATAAAATGAAAAACAACTATATTATTAATACTAAATAAAGTTGGTGATATCATAGGTGATAGATGGTGAAATTATTGAAATAGTTATTTTATTCTTTGAGTTATTGTTTTTTTTAAAAAGTACACATGATGATTTTCATTTTTCAGACAGTGACTCGGATGATGATTATGACCAGTAAGTACAATGATGATAATGTGTGTTATTATTTGAATGTATGTCCCCTGACTATTCACTGCCTTCAAAGGTATGCTTGAAGGCCTATTTGTTAAAAAAAATTCTGCCAAATAAGCAAAACTTAAAACTTTTGGGAGGGACAGGAAGCCCGACAAAAGGGGAGACTGCGAAGGAGACTAATATTTTAGATGTAATTATCATTTTACTAAAAGTACCATAGAAAATGGAAAACAGTAATATTAAGTGATAGAAGTGAAGTTCTAGTTTATCAAACATGTAGAGTTGTCAATGAAAATAAATAAGAATGAATTCTGGTTTCAATATTTGTCAGAAGTTCAAGAACTGATTTATATATTTTGTTTTAGGAAGAGAAAGCTGAGAGATGAGGTAGGAATTTGACACAAGTTGAATTCTTGGAAGTATATTCTTTTTCATCTCAATTTTGTGCTGATTTTCAAGATTAGAAGCCCAGGGGGGGGAGGGGGGGTACTCCCCCTAAACTTGGCTGGGGTTGTGCCGCTGGGACGTCAAAACCCTGATCCTGTTCCAGAGTGAAATCGCTGAAAACTATACCCTGTTCCAGAGTAAAATCGCTGAAAACGATATCCAGTTCCAGAGAAAATCTTGACTAGCTTGCGTGTAGACCGAATTTTTACCCAGTAAATTTTTACCCAGCATCAACAATTCCGGAATTAAACCCTGACCCTGTTCCAGAGAAAATTTGTTGAAATCAATACCCTGTTCCAGAGTAAAATCGCTAAAAACGATACCCAGTTCCAGAGTAAAATTGCTGAAAACGATACCCTGGTTGGCGGCACGTCCCCGTATAGCAAATATAGGGGAGTACCCCCACCTAACCCCACCCCAGGGAATAGAAGGACAAAGAATACTGATGATATAAATATATAGAGATACAAATGTGCCTCAAAATCACTAAGATTGTTTTGTGAGGTTTTGTTAACTTTTACTGTGAAGTACAGTAGTGTGATAAACTAGAATGTTGTTTGCCTAAATGATAATATTCTGCTGTTTTCACACTCCAAAAATAAATTCCAGGGTGCTCCCAATTTTATTAGTTGAGCACCTATACAGGAGTGGCACTAAAGAAGGCTATTGTTCCTGAGACTAATGTTCTATCAACATTTATTTATTAAGAAATTAAAACATCAAGGATTATCAAAATCCCAAGCAAACCATGCTTCACCAAAGGATTTAAAAAAGAAAAAACGAAAAGACCAGAAAGCGAAGCAGGATCAAGGGAAAAGAAAGGAGGCAAGTCTTTAGAATCACTTCTTTTTAAAGTTGACTATTTTACACTCTATTATTCTCAGGTGCTTTTTCCAGTAACATTACAACCCTCCCGCATTTCATTTCATTTATGAKTTAAATAATCAATATTTGTTTTTATTAATTATTTGTTTGAAATAAGCATGAACTTTGGAGTGCTTTCAGTAAAAGTGTGAAACACTAATCACTAAATTGTTCTAAATAATGCTGGCTGAACAAAAGAAAACAAAAAAATGAACACAAAATAGTATTACTAATTTTTAACACTTTTGCTAAAAATGCTCTACCCACAATAGCTTTGTTTAATTAGTATTGTTTGTGCTTTGTATATACATATAGTTTAGCAATGTTTTCTGTGGTCTCTTTTATTGAGAAAATTAAAAAAAATAAAATGAAATTACCCATAATGCATCCAATATAATAAATGCATTTTTTATGACAGTAATTTTTATTTGCTTTGTAATCAGACTGAAAATGGTATTTGTGAAGGATCTCAAAAGAGAAAAGATTTAAGTGCTACTCTCAAACAGGTAAATCAAACCTATATTTCAATGTGAATAAATACAGTGTAGTTGGAATGATTTTTTAGTGGCAACAACTATTATCATCTTTTCTTTACCTCATAATAATGTCATCAAGTTGAGTCTCATTTGTCCTATACCTAAGAAAGATTAGTATAGTGATAGACTGATTGCTGCTTATTGGTTTCAGGGATCTAAAGCTTACTTGGATGGAAAGTGGCATGCTTCTATCCGTTTCTACGAACAAGCTTTGCAAATGCTTTCTCTTGATGATGCTCTACAGGTATACTATCGACATTTAATGCTTAAACTTAGTGAGCCTGTGCAAGTAGTGAAATTATTTCAGCAAACATGAATTGGCAGATAGGGAGCCACAATAGTGATCAGAATGAGCTAGACTCTTCAAAAAACCCTTGTGAGAGTCCAGCCGAAAAAAATAAATAAAAATAAGCCAATTCTTTGTTCTGCTATCAAACAGTTAGACAAAATTGCAATTTGATGTTTATTATTTGATGTTTTAGGTATTCAAACTGAAGCGCATTGACTTTATACTTATATTATACTCTCATGGGACTGCCTGCCTTGAAACCAAAGTTCACAAGGTATGGATAACACTATATTACTTTATTATTGTGTATTATTCTGTCTCTTATGTAACAAATATAAGCTGCAGTGAAGTAGGCTAGCTTTAATATTACGTGGTTTATTTAGGAGCTTATGGAAGCAACTAAGAGGTTTGAAACCATCATCATCCAATACCATGAAATCAAGTTTCCTTTGGCATATTATGGCCTTGGCAGAGTTTTCCAACTACAAAACAGGTAGAAACAATGATAATAATGTGACGGTTTTGAAGGTCAAGATGTATGTGTGTTCCTGTTCAATAACAAACTGCCTCCTCTTCAGAGTCTCTCTTTTCCTTCCTACTCTTCTTTCTACTCTTGGGATTCCTGTCTTCCTGATAATTATGACTGAGGGAAACTGTGACCAACATAAACATCTGTGGAGTGTTACTTGCAGAAGCTAAAATGAATTTTCTTCCTTTTTTCCAGGTTCAATGATGCATTGGAGCCACTAAATAAAGGCTTAGACATGGTGAAAACAGGAGGAGAGTTTGGTGAATATAGATGGCCTGGAACACAGTCCATAATACAAGAATCTGAACCAGAAAAACTAGAGGTAATATAGATAATAACCATTTTCAAGACTGGTAGGAACAAGTATCTGAAATGAAATGACAAAGACAATAGTTTGAAACACAGAATCCTAATGATTGGTTTAGCTTTTCAGAGCACTATAAAGCAATTATTTAACTCAGCTTAAAAATACTGGATTTTCTAGTTATATATTATTTACGTTTTATTCATGTGAATTGTTTGGTGTGTTGTTTTTCCAGTTAGCATTTAAGACTATTATAGCCCTATGTCAGCACCCACCTCGTCCTGATGCTATATGTAGATTTATAGACTGTCAAGGAAGAAGTGCCATTTATCTCACCGACCCAGGTATGTCGTAACTCATTTTTGAGCTCTAGATAACCTGTCAAACCAGTTTCAATAAATTTCTATTTGTCTTAGATTACAAGGGGTATGTAAGGTTGATATGTGATGAGTCCTGTAAAATTGAATACCATCCAACCTGTTGGAAAAAGTACCGAAGTACATATTCTGAGAAGAACGGAGACAAGGTATTAATAATAAATATAATTAATATCCACTAATTATTATCAAGGCTTAATAATTAATGGATATATTTGATAATTAAGAAATAATTAACAACAAGTAAAGAAAAAAAATCAAATCGGGTGATATTTTTCAATGTCATCCTGACACTATTATCAACTGAAGGTAAATTAAAAGTAGTGTTTTATGATTATGATATCCTTTTTGTTATGCTAAAGGACTTTCTTGAAGAGGAATGCCTTACCCCTGACTGTCAAGCCCCATTAGTACAGATTCAAATCTATGGAGACCAAGGACTTAAAACAGAGGTGTGTAAATAAAAGTTGCTGTTAAAATTCACTACTACTCCATCCACTGAATCAATCCTATGTGATCCATCCATTGTAACACCAGACTGAAACCAAAAACTTCCTTAGGATAAATTTAGATCAATACATTTGGATTGAAAGGGGGTTAGAGCAGTTATAGCTGCATAACTTATGCTGTCATTTTGTGTTAATTATTAGTTTGTTGCTGACACCAGTGGAAAGCAAAAGCAACTCAAACAAGGCAAAGTTAAAACACATGGGTAAGCTTGGAGAATGTCTGTTCAGGGCTCTGCAAGAAAATGATTGCTAAACATCAATCACATATTGTCACCTGGTTAAAGGACAATGTCGACCCAAATTTGCAAATGAGATATTGAAAGGGAAATTTGACCATATTCGTAAGGTGCAACTGATGACCCTACAAGAATACCTTTGATAAAGCATTTCAAAATAGATGTTCTTGTTTTAAGTATGAACAGTTTCATTGGCAAATATAAATATACTGGTTAAAAGTAATAATTTGCAGATACATGCAAACCTATTTATTTACTTTTGACCAGCCAAATACATATCATGTTCTATGCTTATTAAAGCATTTGGATGAATGTTTGTCTAGCAATCAGAAGTGTCCCAAGTCTGAAAAGAAGAAGAAAGAAGAGCATAAAACTGAGCAACAACAAGCTCAAGAAGTTGAGGATAGTGAGTCAAAGAAGTTTGAGGAAACTCCAAGTAGCAAAAATCACAGAACAAGCATCACAAAAGCAGGTAAAGCAAGAGTGGCAAAATGAATAGAAGAAAAGGAAAAAAATTCTGAAGAGATTATTATTATATACCATATTTGCTTTTAGAGAATAGTGTAAAAAATGCTTGTATTATGACATTTTAGATGAACCAGAAGAACCTGAAGTGGCTAAGCCAGAAAAAGTGAAGGTACATTGTTCTTTATAGCTTATTCATATTATGGATGTAATTATTGTCATAAGCAGTATTATTGAAATGATTGGTACACCAATCAATGAATCAGAAAGAAATATACTCCACGTACAGAAATCACAGTATGATTTCATTCTGATGGATTTCATGGCATATATCACACTCAACATTGCACAACAGAAATCATGAAGCTTCTCAATAGCTCAGTCCCAGAAGATCTAATGAATAATCTGTGGATTACCAAAGTTTTAAATACCTTTAATAACTTGCAGTTGTTAACTTGTTTCATATTTGTTTCATATTCTTACCTGAAAACATTTACATTTATATCCAGCCATCACCTGAAGTCAAGGTTCACCCTGACACTAGAGATGCTAAAAAGGGTGATCCAGGGGTTTATATTTTAAGAAAGAATGAAGAAAAGTTACCAGATGATCTGTTGGTAAGAAGTGAAAGTGGTTTTCCTAGACTCTGTGTTTGCATACGTAGTCTGAGAAATGATTGAGAGAATACAGTTAATGAACTTGAAAAACTTTTTTTCTCAGGCTTTCAAAGGAGCAAAAAGCAAAAGCAAGAAAAAGAAAGTAAAGGTGAATATTCATTTCTGTAGATTCACTCTAAATGGTCATTTTTGTGTGTTAATTGATTGTTTGCTGCTGATTTATAGTTGTCCAAAAGTGCTTAGTTGGTGGGTTGGTGTATCGCTGGGTGGATTGGTTGGGTGGGTGGATTAGTGGGTCAGTGGTTGGTTGGTGGGTGGGTGGTTGTTTTTGTGGGTAAGTTACAGTAGTTTGCTTGTAGGGTGGGTGGGTCAGTGGTTTGTTGTTGGGTTTGTTATTTGGTGGGTGGTTGCATGGGTGTGTATGGTGGGTGGGTTGGTTGGTTTGGTTGGCTGGTTGGGTGGGTGGGTGGGTGTGTGGATTAGTGGGTTGGTGGGTCAGTGGTTGGTTTTATGGGTGTGTGTGGGTGGGTTGGTTGGTTAGTGGGTTAGTGGTTCTGTGGGTCAGTGGTTGGTTAGTGGATGGGTGGGTGGTTGGATGGGTGTATGTGGTGGGTGGGGGTTGGTTGGTTGGTTGGTTTGGTGGGTGGGTGGGTGGGTTAGTGGGTCTGTGGGTCAGTGGTTGGTTAGTGGATGGGTGGGTGGTTGGATGGGTGTATGTGGTGGGTGGGTGGTTGGTTGGTTGATGGCTGATTTGTCAATATGGATTGAGCTAGTGATTGATTTTAATCAAAACAGAAAAGTAATGATAGAGGGATTGCTTGATTACACTATAATGAGATGAAGAAAGTTGATATTTAACATTTTGCAGCAAAATGTGCAAAGTTTGGATGAATTTTTAAAAGATCATGGAGGGGAGGTTAAATTTAAACCTCCCTTTGGAGCTGCTGAAGAAGAGGAAGAAAAGCCTACGATGTATGTATCATGCTATCAATAAGACTATTAGCCATTGACATAATTGTACATATATATAATATATGGAGAAATTCCCAACAAAATCATGTATTCCTTCAACATTTTGAAGGCTGTTATGATGAAGAATGCAAAAAGATATTATGTGTGTTGGGAATTATTGCAACAGGGAGGTAGCAGCAGACATATGCACTTAACATTTGATAGGAAGCTGCTCCTTCCTATCAGAAATGATTAAAAGGGGAATTTTTGCATGCACAATTTACCCCTAAATGCCTCACATTATAACTTTATATATTTTTCTTCATGCTGTCAACATGTAGGCCCACCCAAATCCCACCATCTCAGTGGAGTGAGCATGAGCTTGTCCCTCCTTTTGCCGTCCCAGCACATCTTAAATCAGATGTACAAGCTTTTGAAAGACAGTTCCATGCAGGTATTGACTCTGGTTATCAACAACCCACACTCACAGATTTGACTCCATCAATGGAAGAAAACTGTGAGGACCCAGTGGAAGACTACATTGTTTCGTAAGTGTTGGCATATTGGCATATTATGTTGTTTACAATCTTACTAGCTATTTTGTGGCACTAAACATAGGTTATTACATTGGCTTCCTTGTGAATGGTCTGCCTCAAATAGGACTCAAATGGCTGCCAAAGATATTATCTCTCACATCAGTTTATTGTTGTTGCCATTTACATTCTGACATAATGCAAGATTGTGTTTTAGGGTCGATCTTTACTTTTTGAAACACTTTCTCTGATGTCATTCTTAAAATCCCAAGCTTAACACTTGCCTGTTTTGGTCCAAATGTTGTCATATTTTCTTTTGATGTTTTGGATAAATTAAAGATTGAATCCCCTTACAAATTTATGAAATTGTGAAATATTATAGCTGCAAGAAAATGCATGATAACTAATTTCCTCACAATTGACCATTTTGCTGCATAATTTTATAAAATATTCAGCTCAATATAACACCATACATTGGTACACTCTGGAAAAAAGGGAAAAAGTCATTGATGCAAAGCCTCCTTTGCAGACTACTCAAATGGAAACCTTTTTTTGTTTCTTTTCTTGGTCTTCCTGTGTTCTTGACAGAGATGAACTGGTGTCCTTCCTTCCTAATCCCCTCCCCCTCCGCCTCCCCCTCCGGCAGTTTTTTTTGCCTTAAGAGGCTAATTGATATAATGTGTCTTCCCAGGTTGGTTAGTGAAACACTAAATGCACATGGACCTATGGATGTGGCTGATGCTCGTATTATTGAACCTATTAGCTTCCTACCTGACTCTCACCAGCAAAAGATAAATGAGTGTGGTGGAATCAAACATTTCTTAATGAAATCTGAACAATTTGTTGTGCAGGGAAATACTGTTATGCTTCCAGATGATCTCCACTTTCAAGAAATGGTTAATAAATTCAACCAGTATGATAAAGGTGGACAATTTGATTTTAACAAAGATAATTCTAAAACAACTGATTTTCATTTTCCAAGTTTCAATGACTCACCACCTGGATTTGCTGCTCATAATGAACACATACCTTGTCCACCAGCACCACCACCTTTGCGTATACCCACTATTGAACCTATTGCACCTTCATCAAAACAAACCATCACTTCCAAATCAAACCCTGAAAATGGGCATGTGAAAACTCTAGAAGAGACTATGGCTAAGCCTATTTTAGTGGAATCTAATGAATCAAAGTGTAACACATTTAACGGAGAGGAAACAGTGAACAATGAACAACAAAAATTTGCAGAATCTACAGAAACTGTTGGCATTCCGTCAAGTATTTCCAACCTTATTGCTGATGTCAAATTAGACAAGACTGTGAGCAATGGTAGTTTGATAAAACAACAAGAGAAGTCACCCAAAAATGAACCTTGTGAAAACGATGCAGGTGAATTTTCTGCACAGCATGTAAGTGAAGAAAAACTTAAAGGTGAACTTAAAGAGTTTCATGAAAAGTTCAAGCTTGCTACTGGAGAGGCAAACTATGTTGTGACCAAAAATGGACATAATTTTGATAGCACACCACTGTTGAATACACCTCCAAAGCACACCCGTGCTGGCAGCAGTGGTTCCGACAGTACAATATGCGTAAAAAGTAAGGGAATTCAAACTCAAATGCAGGTGAAGGCCAAAGGCATCAATACAGACACATTGCCTGAACCTTATAAACTGGAATATACAAAGGCCTCACAGGAAAGAGATGAATTGCAGAGAAAACTGCAAGATGCAAATGAAAAACTCAATAATTTCCAAAAAAGACATGAGCAAGAACTTGAGAAAATAAAGAAAAAATTTGTGGACATTCAAAGTGAAAAAGAGGTTAGTGCTATAGAGGGTAGTTTCATTACAGAGAGCATTTTTGTCCACCTTGTCTGTTTTCGCATCTGTTTCTATGGGCGTGGACACCTGATTCAGGGTGGGGCACACATACAGTCAATCCCTTTAATGTTGTTTAGTTGTAAAAACAACAAAAATGTCATTTTCATATATTACATTTTATTATTTTACAAAAATACTCAACATTAAGTTGCAAAACGTCTTTACATTGTCAATTACATTTGATTTGCCATTTTTCTTGAGTCTTAAATTAAAATCCTTCCAGGTAATTTCAGCAAAATTGTTATGGAAAATGATGTTCCTGTTGTGTCAACCAATGTTAATGGATTGACTTTATAAAAAAATAGTGTCAGTCATGACATGTTCTCAAATGAGGCATAGAAAGATAGAACAGGATTAGGCTTGTCATTAGACATGGATTGTAGAATAGGAACAGTTAGTGATGCGACTGATGACTAAAGAAATCCCAGGTACAAAACAAAAATCACATTCTTTCAACATGCCATAATCAATTCCGGAAATTTAACTGATCATGTACCATTTTAACTTTGGACACAGCATATGAATGGGAGGACCATTATTGAAAATGTTATTTGCCATGCAATATTATTTAACATAATATGATTAAAAAGAGAAATAACATAATTGATTATGGCAAGGAAGCCTGATACAATAATGTTACAAAACTGAGCTGAACTGTGGTTTTAGTTTCTTTTCTTTTGTTATTACTTTTTTACTCATGCAAATTACTTTAAAAGACTGCATTTCTCCATTGTGTCTCTTGTGTCGCTGGTAATAGCAGCAGTTAAGTGACAAATAACAAATCTCAATTTTTGTGTCTAGAAATTATACAAAGATCTGCAGTCTGCCAAACAGGAGGGAAAGAATGAGCTTCAGAAATTGGACAAAATGTGTGAAGAAAAACAAAAGCTTGCATCCTCACTGGAGCAGAGATTTAAGGTGGAGCAAGATAGATATCACAGTACCATAGCTGGTTTGAGAACAGAACTAGAAGCTAAGGAAGCTGAACTTCAAACAGAGAAGTAAGCTACATATATTGGTGAATTGCTTTCAGTGTTGGTATTTGTTGTTTTTTTGTGTGTGGATTAGAAACCTGACTAATTAATAGTATGTACAGAAACTCAGGGTGTGTAGTGAAATCAAGCAATACAATATTTTAATATTGATTAAAATCATGTTAGTTAGTTATCCCCATCTTCCCTAGTGGGAAATAGGGCCGCGACACGGTGACGCCACTCTTGGCGGTCCTTTGCAACTTTCAAAGCCTCGCCCCAAGTCAGTCCCATCTCCAGCAGCTCAGCCTGGACGGTTCTTCGCCAAGTTGGTTTAAAATCATGTTAACTTTGCTTTTATTTGAAGGTCAAAGCTGAATTCGACCATTTCACAAAAGGATGAAGCTCTGAGAAAAGCTGTTGTTGCTAACAAACAACAAGAGTCACGTGCACAAGATGCTGAAGTACGGACCTCTATTTCCTTGTTTTCCTGTTGTTTATTTTATATTTAGCCTTAGGTCCCTATCAGCTGTAAATCCATGAATAAAGCATTCTCATTCCCAGATCTTTCTCAGTTTCCCAATGGAAAATTGAAGGCTCTCGTTGAAGAGGATACCGGAAAAAATACAGAATTTGGGTCTTACGATGTATGCATACTTCTGGCACATGGGAAGTTTTGAACAGACTCATTCGCACTCAACCAGAGCCTTTGATTTCCTGTTGGTAAACTGAGAAGGATCTGGGTGTGGGAAAGCACGTAAAGTCTAAAAAAATTGTTTGAATACATGTAAACTGCCAAGAAAGTTTCTCGCATATAATACGTTGTCCCTAGAAACGTCATTACTGTTCATGAAAGGTTACTCTCTAGTTTTCTTTTGTCATTATTTTAGGTGAAACTTCTGGAGTTAAGACGTGATGTTGGATTAAAGTTTTTAGAAAGGTCCATTCAAGAGGCTACTTACACGGCTAATAACCTTATAAATGTTAGGAAAGCCAGGTAACTCTTTGGTCTTTACTTTCAAATATGTGCATTTATGTTAACCAAACAGATATTCCTTTAATGTCAAATGTTAAGAGGTATTATTAATGTTGTAATATTTTGTCAACAGTGTTGGATCTTCTCAAAAAATGGATGATCTCATTGGTTCCTGGAAAATGTACTTTCATGACTGCCAACAAAAAGCAACAAAATGCAGGGTAAGAACTTACATGATTGGTTCTCTTGTATTACATCAAGACATAKTTCAAGCATCAAGCTTTTCTCACGTTTATTTGTATACAGGAAACATTCAATGCACAAATTCAAGAAGTTGGTGGTGGGCGTGTGTTGTCATCTCTTCCTCAGTTAGCCATCCCAGGCCCTGCTTCTTACCCTGGGCAACCCATATTGCAACTGGTATGTTAATCATACACTTCAAACTTGTTTTATCCCTTGGGATGCCATAGTTCTAGAGTTCTTTTAATCTAGAATTAAAGAATAGCCTCAAGTCTTTATTTTAGTGTATGAGTTACGTTCAAATTGTCAATATGATATTATTATGCTTTTAGAAGTCAAAGTACGTATGTGACAATATCCCATTACTTGTTTTAGAATTGAATTATCCCTTCTTTGAACGAACCACGTACTTACCAGACAACGTAGCGCGTTCACGTAAGATTGCATAGCGTACGATTAACCGTGTGTTTGTGCACACGGATAATACACACACACACGGCTTTCTATGAATCCAAGATCGTGTTATATACAAAATATTATATAAAAAGTAATAAAAAGTCTGCAAGAAGTCCCTTTTAATGCTTTGTTTTTGTTCCAGAATGCACCATTGGTATCTCATATCCAGTCCTCTTTCCAACTCACTCCGGCTGACCGGACTATACCCAGTCAAGTGTATCCCCATGCAGCAGTTGCTATACAACAACCTCGTCCAATTGTCCCTAATTCTGTGCCTGTTGCTGCTGCTGTACCTCCACAAGCTGCTGTCCCTCCTCCAAGGATACCTCTGCCTCAAAAAACACCTGTCCCACCTACTTCAACACCACCGATGATACCTCACCAAGCGCAGCAAAGTTTAGTGGCTGAGGGTGGTGCTGTGGCTGCGGCGGCAAAACCTGATGCAGACAGTAAGGGACGCTCAACTAGCTTCGAGAGAATCATGTTAAGATTGTCTACAGCGTACCCTTACCTTGCAAGGTAGGCCTCAGATGTCATTTTGTAGAGTTGTCTTTGTCCATTGCTTCATGTAATGTTTTTCTGTTGGCACGTTTTAGGGCGGATTTGACTTCGCTGATTTCAGAGGTTCGTAAAAGCAGGCCTGATGGAAAGCTAACGGGTCTTGCACTGGAAGAAATAGTGCAATGTGTTGATTTGCTTGTTAAAGCTAAAGTAAAGGTAGGAGGCTTCGGTTATCTCTATTGACGTAACCATTAGTGGATTTTGTCTTTGAATGGATAGATCGATGAAAATGTTCGTTTTATTTGCACTGTTCACTGATATCAGATGCACTTCATTTCAACTAGTATATTAACCAAATTATTATACTTCATTCATGATCAGTAACTTTTCTCTGTGTGCTGGTCTACCAGCATCCCGGCCTTTCGAGATGAAATACATCGTAATATAATTATGCAAAAACGTTCTCTGTATTTCCCTTTTATACTTTTATACTCATTTTCCATAATTATGAAAAACCTAAAACACGACCGCATTGAATGGTGGTGGACCATGTCCCTTAAAGTTCACAAACATTTCAAGGCGAATTTTGTGTGTGTGTTGTTGTTTTTTTTTTATTTTTATTTATTTTTTGTTGTTGTTACTTTTTTTTATCATGGTTGTCATTCTATTGTTATTATGCCATTGTAGGATGGTCTTATTCGCTTACCTCCTAATCAACAAGCTTCAGCAAATGTCCGTAGCAACTCTTCTCAACCAATAAGCAACCCGCAACCCACACCACCAGTAGTCAGTAATGGTGCTGTAAGTGTGCCCCCGGCTCAAATGACGTCAACAGATCTGTCAAGCTCGCAATCCAGCTTAACATTTTCAGAAGACGACGATCCTTGTGTTATTTGCCACGATGACATGAAATCACCATTAGACACAGTCACTTTAGAATGTGGTCATAAATATCATGAAAAGGTAACAACGATACAAATATAGCCTTGTAGATATGAGTATTGTGGTAATTTACGTAAAAAGGTACTTATATTGAAGTGGGGTTAGTGTTTTTGGAATGGAACTGATTTGTGGTATTATAATCCCAGTCACAGTCAACTCTCGACATGCGCACAACACCCCGTTATTACGGACACTTGAATAAATCCCCCATTCAAAGAAAGCCTCTTTACAGCGGACACTCGCTATTGTAGATCTACAAATAATTACAGTAGGTGTCCGTTATGTACCTTGGGATTTCCCTTTGTCGTAGTTAATTTATGGCAGGATTTCTACATATCGGACAGTTTCTTAGTTCTATTGTAAAAATGTAGGATTGGATATCACGTCCATACAATACTGAACCGTATTGTTCAAAGCTCGATCAGTGCTATTGTTGGGTTAACTCTTAAAAAAGTTATTGAGCTAAACTTTGATAAACGCTAATCGGGCTTTCAACAACCCTACCCTGGTCTCTATGAAGTAGTGTGTCACTCAATTTTTTTTTTAACTTGATTTCAGCGCATTGACAAAAACATAAAATTCCACTGCTTTAGGTTTTATTTTTTTAATTACTCTCCATATTTTGTTAAAATCACAAGTCCAAACCGAAATGCACATTTTGCTTTCCCTGATTTTGTCTATATACTGGCCTTATTCTGCGATATCAATTCAACTTCGAGTTACGAGTTACGCACTTTTCGAGTTACGCACTTGTAGGATCTTTATCAAAGACATCAGTTATTCCGGAAACTGGTCATTAACAAACAAGTTGACAATGTGCCTTTTTGAACCCCACGGTTTTGACTATTTTAGGCCACAGTAGACAAAGACGTCAAAAAATAGACACCAATGTACAATAAGGTGTGACTTCAGGTCGTAAGGCGGGCACTGTCGTTCTACAGTTGATTCTGATACTGCATTCTCCAATGATTATAGATTGTTATTATGTTTGCATAACAACACTTAATTTCACGGACTTATCAGTAAAGCACTCTCCAGTTTTGAACCCTAAGGGCTTGAACGGAAACGGCTTTTTGCGAGCAATCGTGATGAGAAGAATATTATTTCTGCCACGTGATCATTTATGGTACCCAGATGTTAATTCCTATTTAGTTCATCGAGGCCACGTTTTAGGAATACATTAATGTCCGTATAAATATTTGAATAGCGAAAGTTTCACTGTTGTTCCTAATGTGTGTTATTAGAAGCATGCGACCTTTGTGGTAACCCTCATATTACTGAAATACCAGTATTGCTTATTAAAAGCGGATAAATTATCCACCGGGCTTTGATAAGGTCGGCTCCTTTACTTTAATTGGCCAGACCCGAAGTAATCCTACAAAATATCGCATATCAAAATGGGTTATGTCTTAAGTATTAGCATACATATTAGCATAGAAGTACTTATAAAACAATGGAGTCAACCTTCTCATTGTAAACAACTTTTTATGTCTTGCAGTGTATCAGGAAATGGCTTCTGGGAGAACAGAGTACATGCCCCACGTGTCGGGTACACGCCCTGTTGCCGGACGAGTTTCCACGTTTAAAGTAACACAGATAGCTTGAGTTCCCTAACTGTTTTGTAATAAGCATTGTATATTTATGGTAACGATACACAGCATGTAAGACAGGGAGATTCTAAAGTCTTGCTGTTAACCTTCGATTTAGGAAAGTATTACGGATAGCCCACTAAGACGAACAAATAAATCATTGAGAACTACCACTAATGTAGAATCTCACTATTTTTTGCACTATTCTGTTTGGTGGTTTTATTTTATTGCGATGTTAGTTATGCCTGCGCATTGGTGAGGGAGGACATTTAAACCCGTGAAACAAAATCTATTTGTCAATAAAGTTCACTAGAATAATGATTAAGTGATTGTAAAGATGCTCCGAACGGCTTTTGTTTATTTCCTAGTATTTCTTTTTTGTTGTTGTTTTTTCGTTATTTTTTTGTTTTTTGCTCTGTTGTTTTTACCACCATGTTTTGATTAGTTTTCGCGAGAGAAATGATCTTTCGATCGATCGAGTGATTTTCACCGGACTGTGCAACCAAAACAGTCAAGCTTTTCTTCTTTGATAGTCCAATGTCAACAAAAGAAAACAATACAGTTTGATAAGAACTTTTAGATAACATCTATCAGATAACATCTATTAACTTAGATTAAATCAATTATCGACGATGTCACAGTCTGGTGCAAAAGACTTAAACAATGGGGAAAAAACACGCTTTTCAATGTTGTTTTACAAACTTTTCGAACTGGTGAAATGCACCTGATTAATGGGTTTTTTAATTGATTTCTTGTGGACTATCTTACCTTGGCTTTAGATTTTCTTTGAAGTTTCTCCCCTCACTCTGGTGATTTTAAAATGTAGAAATGTGTCGGGGTTTTTTCAGATGTTTATGCATGATTCAAACCGTTTATGCATGATTCAAACCAGAAGTACATAACCATTGTTATGTACTTCTGTTCAAAATCATGGAACTTAATAGTTATAAGTAATAATAATAAGATATTATTTTAATACATTAAAGTTTTTTAATAAGTACATTTGGTCTGGTATTCGTATGTAGCGCAGTCGATCTTCTTCACACAGGAACTCCGTAACAAAAACAGGATGCAACTTCAAGATCAAACTCGTAAAGTGATAAGTTGCAAATTACGCGCAAACCAGGGTCGGTTATACCTACYGATCATGACATTTTAAATATCTAAAATGTAGACTACTTGGGGGTTTTACAAGAACATAGCCATAGGGAGAAAGGAAGGGAGTGGCTTTGAACRGGATAAAGAAATGAATACAATAGTCTTTCTCATTTTAGTATTTCTTTACATTATTCTTGGCATGGTTATTGCACTTGAAGGACATAAATTAATGACCTTTATCACCACGGTGAACATCTATCAGTTAATTAGGTCCAGTCCGTATCTTTAGTGATTTTCGTAGCAACTTTTCGTTTTTTGCCTTTTGCTCATATCACATTTATTAATTTGAGCGCTTTGTCTTTAACGCATTCAGTGTATACTTTACAATGAAGAAAAGTATTCTTCTAAAGAACGTTCTCGCGTGGCTGTGACCGGGACAATCGGTGTCGGTCTTGCGTGACCTACCCAATCGGCTTGTATAAAGGAATCCGATCGGTGCAGTAGACCTACCAGTCAACACGCCTTCCCGCTATTAAGCCAGGATTGTATCTGTCAATACCTTTAACTCTATAGAAAACAATCAAACCTGAGATATTACCGAGAAGTTTTCAAAACGTTAAAATACTAGGCACTTCATTTATACTGTCAAGAGCTTTCGACCAACATGCGCGATAAATAATATTGACGTACCACTTTAATTTACTGGCTATTTTAGATCTTTGATAAGACTCAATTTGCCTTTCCGTGCATTTGATTGCTTTAATAATTTAGTAGTTTATTGAACGGGTTAACACAGACTATACTTCTAATCAGTCAGGGTTTGTTGTCATTCTTTTAATTAATAGCTCTACTGGTAGATTGGAACGGCGTCGCTGTGTTTATACCAATCTACTGTTTATAAATGAATTTTTTCTGAATTACACATATAAGGGATTACATATTTTGAGTACAAATTACTCCTTGGATTAATTGTATTTGTAGTTTTGCATATTGCTTATTGTGTATTGATTTACCGCGTTATTTAGCGCAGTATCTGATCAGTTAAGCCCGTCTTAAACACCTTTTTCACGCTAGGCTACTCCTGGAGTGTCAATCGAATAAAGCATTTGAAGTGGATTGTACTTTCTGACTTGAAATAATCTCTACGGTACACTGGTATATACGTATTACAAATACGAAACGTAAACTCGAGACTCGCTGCATTAGCACAAGTAACAAAAACTCGAAGTTAAAGTAGAACTTCAATGACAAAATAAGCTAATAGGTCTCACAATGGTCATCGAAGAACAAAGACAAATAATAAACTCCAATAACAAGCTTCTTGTAAGAAAGTCATCAATGAAACTTTATTGGCACTGAATATTTCGCAATTAGATGTAGAAAAGAGATTAAGATCTTCTGGATTGGTCTACATTAAAACTAAAGGCCTTTGGAATGTTTTATGAATGCATACTAGAACAATAACATTTAATACACAGGAAACAAGCAGCTTGCTTTTGTCTACATTAATAATTTTTCTCATCTATTCACACATTTCTAAGAGGCTCTATTATCTTTTGATATTTTATAAACATTGTACAAAAAGGGATGGTCGAAAGGCTGACGAGAAGCCATCGATTTCTTGAAAATTTACAGCTCATATTCCAACAACTTCAGCATCTAAAAAACAAAAGGAAACTAGCATGATGCCTCCGTGGAAGCCAATAGAATGTTATTGTGGAAGCCTTTTTAATGCCCAAGAAACCAACTCAGTGCTGTGTTGATTTCACGCAATTGACAACACTTATAGGTTTACAACTACAAGTGATTTCAGTGCAAAAGTAATTGGTTAATGGCACGGCTTGTTGCGAATACTATTTTCCCCTAACTGTCAGTCAGTACTTGTTTCATTAAACAGAAGTTTCAGAGTTTAACTTCAGAACAAACTTATTGTTTTCGAAATCAAACTCTTCTTCAGAGAGATCAAAGTACGGTAGTTCCTTGACAGTGACAACAAGCGACAGGATTTCAGTCTTTAGTTGAAAGACAGTCGAGCTTGAGAGACCCGAAGTGACTTGCTCTTCGCAAACTAGACTCCATTCCTGTGTGTCTCGAGAGCTCACGTATTCAACACAAGGTTGCTCGCACATGTACCGTTCTAAGAAAGCTTTGGGTGACATGTCGAATGCCAGACAGTGGGCTAAGTGTTTCAAAATAGCATCCATGTTATGCCGATGATGTTGTTTGACGGTACGTAGGTATTTCTGGAGCGGACGCGCGAATGAAGGGAACAAAGACTGAGCCGCTTCCTCAGGATCCATGGGAACAGTGGGGCCTCTGTCAAGTTGAATTCGTCGTATGTGACCAAAAGCCTCCTCACATACAGCCATCAATCTTGCTTTCCGCCGTTTGACCTTCCTTTCGTACTCAGCCTCCTCGTAAAAACGATCGTTTCTCCCTGGGTTTCTCCGTCCTTGTGAGCTTGACGTGATTATAGCTCTTGTTCGAGGGTTAACTTTGCTGTTGTCTGTTACTTTCCCGTCGATATCGTAAAACTTGAGAGTTGAGAATTGTTTGGTTGCCGTTCGAGCTGGCAATGTCATCATGTAGGGGTTATATTCGGGGAAATCTTTGTAATACTTCTCAAGCACAAAAATAGCAGCCCTTTGAATCGACAAAGCGCCGACCGAGTAGAATTTACTAACCCCATCTGTACTTCGGATGACTTTGAGGGTGTAGATCGGTTCAGAATGTCTCAACCACAATACTACCACAGAAAGATAATGAAGAAACAATAGCGAATCCAGTAAAGTTCCTGCGAATTTCAGAATCTCTGAAAAGTCTGCTTCTTTGTTTCGTATGATTCTCAAGCCATAAAATAACCAGTAGCAAGCCAACACWATGAAAACAAGAACCATGACTCCTACTCGAAGTACGTTAACTCTCGGCATAGAAACCCGCGTCTTTCGAAAATACAAAGCCCAAATCCCGACAATTAGGATAAATTCTTTTACAGCCAGACTCAGAAACATGCCATCGCATTCAATACCGCATTTATTCGGCTTCCATAAAACTATGGGGATAACGATAAATAGAATTGGCGAAGCAATGAGCAACAGACTAAAGAAGGCCAATGGAATGAGTTTCAAATGTCTACAATCGAATCGTCTTTTCTCCTTCCCTACTTCGCTGATGTCCCCCTCGCTTAGGGTYACGATTGATGTTGCAGTTTCTGTGATAGTTGTTGCTGTTTCTCCCCAATCATCATCCTGGGGGATAACTTGTACTTCGATAACTCCTTCGTCAAGTTCCTGGCTACCATTTGTTTCGTGTCGGTCTGATCTATGATTCGACGTGTAGTGGTCTCTATCAGGGGCCTTTCGGTAGCGATCTTTTGGCATTTTTCTCACTTTAGAAATCAAATTATGTCACCTTCAGAAAAGATATTGGCCTGCTTGCTAAACTCGCCGCTTCATGAAGCCTTTAAATCGATATGAAACGCTTGAAATGTTTCTCAGGAGTGAAATTTGTAGACAGCACTTGAAATGCTACGGCGTTCGGAATGCTTYAAGATGAAATGTATTCATTTTCACGTTCCACGCAATGCTCCTGTCACGATGGAAATTGACAAGTTTATTGAAAAGGMTCCCATGGGACTCGCTGATTGGTCGTTGAACAATTAATTGGAATTATTAGCTGGCGTATCAATGGCTTCCAGTCACGTGATATAAACAATTGATCTTTGACACTCAATATACGCGTGTAATCCGAACAATTCACAATACACCTAAACAAGAAATACTTGCGGTGATATTTGTTTGACATATAAATGCATGCATTACAGACTAAAATTGGATGCTCTTAGAGCGTTTACTCGGGCTTCAACATAGAATAAGATAAACAGATTCTTTGATTACAGCAAACGTTGCAATATCAACTATAGGCTCTCTAGCAGAAGTACATGTACTTCTGCTCTCTAGACATAATGATATTATCTATGCTATATATATTTTTGGCACTTAAACAAAATAAGAGAATTTGCATCCCATTTTTCGACAGTCACGTGATATGTCACACGCCTACCGTGATTAACTTGACTCGTTGGCCAAGGTTTGTTTAACCAGTCTTTATTGGCACAGAATCAAATAAGGTGGAATTACAGGAACATATATTCA